TCACGAGTCCTGCGAGAAAGTTGAGTTTTTAGCGCACTTCTGTCGCCCGTAAGTTCCTACTTGCGCGCACCCCGACCAGGCAATTTTCACCAGAGAGCCAAGAAACGCGACGGGGCGTCACACGGTCCGTTCCGTTCGCCGAGATTCCGAGCAGCTGCTGGACTTATGCGCTGTGAAATGCATAATGCGCGTCCGCGGCCGGGGCTATCTAGGATGTGCGAAACCAATTTCTGTCTTCGTATGGTCATTGAGGCCACGCGTGGATGCAACAGGGACAACGGACGCGTCGGCGCCCGCGAGCGTCAAACGCGGGCGCTGCAATTTCCAGCGATCTCGCTGATCGAGACCTCGTCTCGCGCCGATTAAACCGCGCGACCCTCGGACCAGACACCGGCAGGTAACGAGGAGTCGAACGGTCCCGTCGTTACGGATAACACGCGCGTAGGCTCGCGAGGGCCTAGGCTAAGAAAAATGTACGGCTCGGTGGAGAAAGGCGAATCGGGGAGGCCGGACACAAGTATATATTTTTTCCCACATACCGCGACGCGCGATAAAGGGCGAGGGGCTGAATCCGTATCCATCAATATTTTCATTCACAACGTCTATGACAGAAACGAGCTTTGCCAGCAGTCACGTACGAAAACACACGCGACGTGTCGAGGTGAAAAGTAGGTAACTCGAGGTAACCGATCGAGGACCGTGGAGAGACGGGCGGGTTAAACGATGGCGATGGCAGGTGTCAAGCGGTCAGTTGATCACTGTCAAATAGATCGAAATAGTTTCGCTGCGGCTCGCCGTGCACGCCGCGGCGTTTTTACGGAATAAAAACAAAACCTGCGCACGGACGATCCTGAAAGGAGAGACCGATCGCGTTTTATGGTACTTTAAAGGGAGGAGACAGAACGAGAGAAATAGACGGGCGTCCACGATATTTCTATGAAGCGGGTTTAACGCAAAAAGAAGAAACGATAAACCTCCCTAGTTGCACAGTGCATTGGCTAAACATTGGTCTAATATTGGTTCTATCGGAAGTGCATTGGCCAGTGTTTCCCACACTCTAAAAGTCAATCAGTGAATTAGCATTGAATACAGTAAATAGTCACTGATTTGCAATTATAAATGTACTACTGAAAATTGCAGTATATTTATAACTGCGAATCAGTGACTATTCACTGTTTTCAGTGATAATCCACCGATTGACTTTTAGAGAGCAACGTAAAGCCAATATCGGCCACGAAATAAATGCAAATATCACGCAATAATAATCATATAACAGATTTATACAGGGTGTACTAAAACCACCGGATATCCTTTTAATCGCAGATTCCTTAGGAAATTTCAAGAGGAAAATTCTAATTAAAAAATGTCGAGGCTATGATAATTTTTAAATAATAAGCGATTATATTTCACAAATGACAGGTCTGAGATTTCGCGCGCTCAGTGAGTGATAAAAGTGTTACCTATGTGTTTCGCGAGCGAGCGAGAACCAAAGTTACCATTTAACGGGACAGAAAATATTTGGGAAGACGATTATTTTGAAAACTTGAGGATAAAGAGAGGCAGGAGACTAGATTGAATCTAACTGAAAATTCCAAGTTCACTCAGAATATCGGAGATCGACTAAATCGAAGGATATCAGTCTGATCAAGATGCTCATCATAGTGAACCCCTCCCTTTTATTAATAAGACGTTACACAAAGTTAACAAAAGAAATGGTTAAAGATAACAAGAGGAACAATTAATTCGAGAATGAATCGTTAAGTCTGTTGTGAAAGTTGTCACTATGCTAAAAAGGGTGATATTCGTAGGAACACCTTTATCACTTGTCGTGTCGCCGTACCTCAGGCTTGTCATTTGTGAAATATAATCGCTTATTATGTAAAAACTATTATAGCCTCGACATTTTTGTATTAGAATTTTTGTCTTGAAAGTTTCGAAAGAATTTATGATTAAAGAGAATATCCGGTGGTTTTAGTACACCCTGTATAGGAAATGCATTGTCCAATATTAAACAGAATAACATGAATAATGTCTAATATTGATCTAATAGTGATAGAATATTAGACCAATGTTGCTAAACAGAGATTTTGGCTAAATAATAGGAGACGTCCATCTTACAATATTGGACCAATGTTGGGAATATTAGACCTGCATATTTCCCACTATTGTAATTCGAACGTTCCTACTTTATTTCATCGGTTGTTGACGCTCGACTGAAACCATTACGCTCGTCACTATTAATGTTTCAAAGTTGCTTTCATTAGAAACACACGCGATTCAAGTAGCGCGACGAATGATAATACAAATGCAAACGCCGGCGAGCGCGTTTTCTAACGAACCGGAGTAAAATCGATTTCATACAAATCTCAGATCTGTCTCTGCGCGGGACGTAGGCCTCTCGTGATGGATTTGATAAGGCATCGGGGCTTGCGCGATATATTAATGAATACCAGGAGAAAAAGAGCACATAGCTGCGGGGGAAGAGGGGCGGAGAGAAGAGAACAAAGAAAGAGAGAGAGAGAGAGAGAGAGATATCTCGGAAGAAATCTAGCGAGTCCTCGACAGCGCGTTTCAAACATCTGCCGCCGCAGATATCTTGCCTCGCAGTCGCTCGCAGATTCATACGTTCCGCGACGACTCTCCCGTGCGCGCGAGGCGAGATCGCACGTCCCGCGTGTGGTAACATAAATCATAAGCGCCGGTAGCCGTGGAGGAATGCGTAACGTTCGTTTACCGCGCTCGCATGGATAACCGAACCAATTTGAGACGTGGATTCGTCAGAATGAAACGTCGCTATGTCGGCCAGAGCCACGACCGGCTGTCCGATAAATCGCGCCTCGTGTATCTAATCGCGAGATTCAACAGCCGACGTTTCCTCGCGTCCTCATAACTTCCTCCATAGTTCGGACGAGGCGAGCGAACTGATTACATCTGCACTGTCGACGGAGGAGGATTAAATAAAGTACGCCGATGAGAAGAGAGTCTTCGCGAATCTCGCAAAATTAATCCGCTCCTTTGGAGAACCCCGGTTCCTCGCGCGGCGCGGAAGACGCCCGTTAATGATCCCCGTCACAGATTAATCCGGCGCGAGCTATAACGAATCTCGAGTATTCCCGGCGATGATTGAAAACTGGAAGTCGCGTTCCGGCGCGGCGGAAAGCTGTCGCACTTGGCCGGCGATTACCATCGTCCCCGCGACGGGAAAGAAAAGAGAGCGAGAAAGAGAGGAGAGAGGCGCACGCTTTTTTCCTATAACTCAATCACGGCCGTTACGTCGAACCAGGATGAGCCGTAAAGTCCGGCCATTAGAAACGTGCGGCGCGTCGCGCCGCACGACAAATCGCCGTGGAGAACAAAAGTCCCCCGTCCTACATTTCGCGCCGCGCCGCGCGGCCTACACGCGGCCCGGCAGATGCGCTGACAAGCGAGAATCGCCTTAAAGGCGTCGCGCTCGACAGATTGCACCGGCGACTGATTGATGCGCCCGCGAACAACAATCCAGCAGGCCCGGCCGCGCACAGCCAGCCAGCCAGCCAGCCGCGGCAGCGCTTCCCTATTCATCTTCTTCTTGCGCCCAGGCGCGCATTAGCGACAATACCTATGTGCATTAAGGCGCTCGGTGTGGGTACGTGGTACGTACTCCCCGGCAGGCACTACCGCGCTTACGCCGGCACGGCCTCTCGCCTTGTCTCTCCCCTCTCGCGGCACGGGAAGAAATTTCGTGAAAGTACGCGCGAACGACTGTTCTCTCACAATTAGCGGACAAATCGTGATTCTCTTCGCGCGCATGTCGCCGGAGAGAGAAAGAGAGAGAGATTTTTATTCTTCAACCGTATGAAATTCGCAGATGTTTTTCCTCGAGAGCGTAAAACACGCGCGCGCGCCTTCTCGACAGAGAGGAATCGGGGATAATTCCGTGTTTCCTGTTATTACGCCGCACTCCTTGACGAGCGTGTAAAAAATATGCTAACAAGATACTTATTATTTACCTCCGTAATAGACGACGATCAATGTTATTAATTTGTACATTTCACGCGCCTGCAATGCACGGCTTTACGCGCGTCAGCGGAGAATATCGGATATCGGCGCGAGTGAAAAATAACTGTATTTCCCCCCGAGAAGAAAGTACGTCCGACGAATCGAAGCCCGTCCGCAACTCGTACCTATTTGGTGGCTACTTATAAACGTGCCGCGTTCCTTTTTTAATCATAAATTCTGCCCGTCATAATTTCCGCGGTGATTGACACGCGATCACGATTGACGCATGCCCCTACAAGGGGGAAAAGGATACTTTTGACACGCAGTACCGCTGTTATTAATATCCTTTACCGATCTTACGTGCAGCCAACACCTACGCGACCAGCGGGGGTTCCTGTCTCCCTGGAATCCAGGTGTCTACCTGGTTGACATTTGACAGGCACCACGGCCACGGGATTCCTTCTCGCGTGACACTCGATCGATGGATGTTCGATTCTATGATAATAGGATGTACCGGAGATAAGATAATTGCCACGAGGGTCGACGACCGCGTACAATTTCGTGGCTTCGGTTTCGAGCGCGAGCTCGAAAATTGTCAATTTGTCGGGAATTCAATGCAATCGCGATATTATGTCAACTATGTGTATGTCACGTAAATTGTTTCGAGTCGCTTTGAAACTTGAAATATTAAATATCGTACATCTTGACTGGTTATTAAATCTCATATTTGCAATGAGTGCAGAATATTTTGAAACTGAGAGAAAAACGTAAAAGTCAGGCATTCATTATTTATTCTATGATATGAAGCTACTTGACAATTTAAAAATATAGTTTTAATCCGGTAAAAATAACAGGGATATTTCATCTCGACTGGTTGTTAAATTTTATATTTAAAATGTATAATGATTGCGGAATATTCTCTGTAATTTTAAATTATTAAATAATGATTATTACTTTTTGTGAGACGCATTTTAAGAGAAATTGTGTGATTTCAGAAAAAAAACAGAATTTATTCCTTTCAGGGTCGCATGCCGTTCATGCGAGCGATGAGCATGGAACAGCGGTGGCAAGATCTCGCGTCTCTTTTATCCCTCCCGGGAGGACCGGATCACTTCGCGCATCCAGCGCATCCTGGGTATCCAGGACACGGCATAAGTCACAGTCATTACGAGGCGCAACGTAATGTATTGCTCCATAATCCTACCTTAGCGCCTCCGGTCGGGGATCTTAATTCAACAGGACCTTACCACAATGTGGGTGAGTGTTGCCTAAAGTTTGTACGGAAGCTCTTTGTTCCTACTTTACTATTAAGTCATATTATTATCTCTTTCTCTCTGACGCAACGCAATTTCGCAAGGTGAATTGTATACTGTTGAGGTAAATGAAGCTAACATGCGACGTGTGCATTAGAGGCGTATGAAATACAACTCTTTAGCCAAAAATACTTTCTGTACTCGCGCAAGCCTAATACGTAAGTTGTACCTTCTTCAATCTCACAATGGTTTTACGTCTGTCATTCTCGTACTCGTTCGCGTTCTCACTCACCCTCCTACAAACTCCAGCCGATGACATCGATTTTTGCATGAAAAAGGAGACGGGGAAACGCGGTACTTTAAGGTATCGTCTAAGAGATTTCCTTGTCTGAACTAAGCTGCTCACTGTTACAGGTGGGTCGTCGAATTTGGGTTCAGCTGTGGCAACATCGATGAATTTGACAAACAGTAGTGAGCCAATGGGTGCGGAGAGCGGCACGAGTTACAAGTCTGAACCTAACGATATGATGTATTATCATGCACCGACGACAGATTCCATCAACCAAACCACTGATGGATTTCTTTCGTCCCTACTCAATGACGAGGACTTGCACTTAATGGACATGGCCATGAACGACGGTAAGTACTACCACTGCTTATATCATTGTTATTACATCACTGTACATTCTTTTCCTAATACTAGAATCCTACTGTCTTACTAATACACAAAATTGAAAGAATACGCACATTAAAGAGAAAAAATACGACATCAATTCTTTTTAATTCTAACGAAATCTCTTAGCAATGTATCTTAAAGATTTTCAATTAGAAGAAACAGCTGAAAATTAAACATTGAAAAATCATATATTTGTTTAAGTGAGAGAGTTCTTAAACATCTTCTATGCATGTCGAAAGTGGGTTTATTGGTTGGATGCGGAATATAATTTGCCGAGTGTAATGAAAATTAACAAAGTAGGCTGAATCCAGAGTGGAAACAAAATTATAGCATTTTTCTAAGTCATCTTTTCTAGCGTAATCATTACCATGTTCTTCCCCTCTATCCTTTCCAAATATAATAAATTGTTCTAATTGATAATGATAATAACGTATTAATCTCTACTAATAGGTTAGAATCTATTAAAGCAATTCATTACTGGAATTAATTTTAAAAAATATTACGAACCGAACGTTTTCCTATAAAAGTATAAAACTTTATTATACGTTATAACATATTAAGGAACAAAATATAATAGCAGTATTTCATAAAATAAATTTTAATGAAGAATGAATCAGTCTTCAACTTTTCGACGATTATGTGGGACATAAAATATACCTCACATCGTTACTGCAATTTTAAATGCCTATGTTTGTAGTGAAAATGCATTTTTCATAGATTTAGAATCTTTTTGAATCGTAAACGTTCCAAGATTTCTTAAATTTAATTTGAAGTTAGTTACATGTTGTGTATTTTATGCAAGAGATATTTTATATTTATATCCCACGCGATCATCCATGTCTTATCTATTAATATTCAATATCACCATTGAAGTTCATGTAAGCAATTACTGGACGTCACAATATATTAAGACAGAATTATCTTAATTGATGAAGAAAACAAAAGAAATTATATAAACTATTAAATTGCTCTCCAAAAATATCAATTTCCTTTTTGATATACTATGATTTACACGAAAAAATATAAGTAATGCAAGTGTATGTGTGTTTGTAATTTAAAACTTAACTATTGGAAGCAACTTCAGAAACTATCGGCTCTATGCTCAAGTTTGAGGTAGTAATATAACTTAATAATAAAAGTATATCACATAGTTAATTGTAAATTGAAGAGAAAAGGAAACAAAAACCGATTGTCATCATGGCTCACACATTTCTGTCTACATTCGTTAATGCCTGTAGACCTATCGTATCTTATCTAGTATTTTTTTTTTTAATCAATGAAAACAACTCAATGGTTTGTGCATCGTATAAACGACGAGGCATCTACCATGCTTCTTCTGGTTCTGCTTGTACAGGAGGTGTATAGCCGCTATCGTCACATGTTTCACCATATGCATCATTGTTCTAAACAGAAGAATAATTCATATTTATTTATATCATATGTTCATTAAAAACTCTGATCTGATAAAAAAAAGATTCCCTGTGATTTCCAATACAAAATTCTTACTATTCAATAGCAATATACTAGAAGTACATTGCTGTAATAGAAATATTATACAATAAAAGTATAAAGAAATTATCAATATTTGATAAAAAATTTAGATTACAGTGTTCACTTACGCCTCTAATATCTTGTCCGCCAAATCTTCTCGAACCGCCCCTTCCTGGCATGAAAGTTCTGGCCCCGCCACCACCTCCAGATTCTAGCCAGTCGGGTATTGGCTGATCAGCTTGTCTCAAAATTTTGACCAAATCGCCAGTAAGAGGGGTATCGGTATTTGAATCAAAAAATGAAGTCGCTTTGCCGCGATTTCCAACTCTACCAGTTCGTCCGATTCTATGAACGTATTCGTCGATCGTCTTTGGTAAATCAAAGTTTATTACGTGCGAGATATTTTTAATATCCAAGCCTCGCGCGGCAACCGCCGTTGCAACTAAAATTAACATTTTTCCTCGTTTGAACTCGGACAAGGCTTCTTCTCGTTCTCTTTGGAGTCTATCGCCATGTATACTAGTTGTTGGAAAGTTGCTTTCTGACAAGAAAGCTGCGATGAAGTCCGTGTGCCTCTTCTGTTCAACAAACACCAAAGTACCTTCGATACTTCCTAGTTGATTTTGTTTCTCTAGCAGTTCTTTCAGCAATTTTCGCTTGTCGGATTGACCAGACGCTTGGTAAAAGTTTTGTTCTACGTCAGAACAAGCACCACCTACAATTCCAACTGCGAGGAACAAATAGTTTCGTAAAAATCGACCCGCAAGTTCCTGTATCTCATTTGGGAAAGTAGCAGAGAACATGAGAGTCTGTCTTTCTTCTGCAGCTACCATTGTATCATGGTCTATTATCTTTTCGACATCGGGCAGGAATCCCATGTCGAGCATTCTATCAGCTTCGTCCAGCACAAGAAAGCGCAAAGAAGAAAGTCGAATCTTGCCTCGTCCTATAAAATCTAATAGTCTGCCTGGAGTGGCGACTAGAATATGACAGCCGTTGAGTACTTTATTCGATTGATGCATAACCGATGTTCCTCCGTAAGCAAGCTCGGCGCGCAGGATAGAGTTCAACGAGAATTTCTTAACTTGCTGATGTATCTGCATGGTAAGTTCACGCGTGGGTGATATGATAATCACGTGTGGCTCGCATGAACTGCCAGTCTTAATTAAATCCTTCGGGTCTTCCAATAGAGTATGCAAGATAGGAACTACGAATGCCGCAGTCTTGCCCGAGCCTGTTTGCGCGCAAGCCATCAAATCGCGGCCACTCATTACAATCGGAATGGCGTACTTCTGAACAGGAGTGGGCTTCGTATAACCCGACTTCTTGATATTGTCCAACAGGATACTTCTGAGGCCGGCTTTATCGAAGGATTGTATCGGCTGTGGTGCGTTTTCGCCGGACACCTTTACCTCGATATCGTCGTATTTATCGAAATTTATGCCCATCGACACATCGTTTCCAAATAAAGAAGTCTCGTCATCAGGTTGTTCCGGGGGAATATAAATCTCCCTCTTCTTTGGCTCGTCATCGCCCTCTTTAGAGTCACCGTCGTTTCTTCTTCGTCCTCTATCTTCATTGTAGCCACCATTATCATCGTCGCCATCCCTCCTTCTACCATAACC